GCCTGCAGTGTAGTCCTGGCGCTCCCCTTCCCAGCACCCTTTGCTCCATTTACCACTGCTGGTGAGGGCCTCCTGTGGGCTTTCAGTTTTGCTTTGCTCCGTGGGAGCCTCCTCTGACCATGAGTTCTCTGACTATCAAAAGGCCGGGGGGAAGGGAGGAGTAGATCCATCCACTCTTCAAGGCCTGGCCTGCCTCAGCCTCCTGGGTGTTACTTTCTCTGTTTATTTAGCCTTAGGAGTCTGAGATTGGTTAGGTCTCATGGAAATGATTATTATTACATGGTCTCCCCAAATTTACAAAATTTATGGCCCCAAACCTCTTATAAAGCCATGGCAATGTAAACGTTTGGCATGGAGGTGCATGCCTACAGCCTCTCAGCATTTGAGGAGCTGAGGCAAGAGGGTTGCTACAAGTTCGAGGCCAGCCATAGCTACATAATGAGACACTGTCTTTTGGTTGCGGGGAGGGAGGAAATAAACAGATGTTTCCCTTTCCTGACCACCTGGTCCCAAATAACTGACTCAGAGGCTGAATATGAATCATAAATGCTCAGTCAATAGCTCAGGCTTATTACTAACTAGCTCTTACATTTAAGTTAACCCATATTTCTATTTATGCTTTGCCATGTGGTGGTATTTCTATTAACATGGCATGTTCATCTCCTGCTCCCTCTGTGAGAAGACTCTTCCCATCCTCCTTAGTTTGGTTGCCCTGTCTATACTTCCTGCCTGGCTACTGGCTAATCAGCGTTTTATTAAACTAATTTGAGTGACAGATCTTTACAGTGCACAAGAGGATTACTGCACAGCAGCAGTGGGTGCAAACCCCCCCCACACACCATATGTAGCTCATGCATTTGAAGTATACATTTAAAACTTCTTCCCTCATTTGTTCATTTGTATGTGGGATGGAGTGTGCACACACTGGTGGAGGTCAGAGAACAGCTTTCAGGAAGTTGGTTCTCAAAGTCCACCGAGTGGGTCCCTCCACTCCAATGGTCAGGCTTGGTGTCAGCACCTTGACCTCTGAGCCACTTACTGGTTCAGTTTGTTAGCAGTCTGGCCTTGAACTTTTTCAGTGTTGAGGTCACAGGTATGAGGTCACCACACACACCTAGCTCCAAAGTAATTTCCAAAACCCAGAAAACTGCCTCAAATAAACCACTAACCGTATCAGTTTTTACTGTTAAGTGGGAAAGAAGAAAACTGCATCCAAATCCATGTAATTCTCCCTGCACTTCTAAAGCTCTTTTTCATGAGTTGTCCCAGACAGCCTGTTTTGTGCCCAGAAACAATAAAAGCCATTCATGAAACAGTTAGTTTAACTATGAAGGTACAGCTGGGTCTGTACTCATGGTTTAGCAAGCATCATGGGCAACGCATTCTCCTGGATCTTGGATGGTTAATTCAAGTCCATGGCATAGACTCCTTGGAGAAGCTGTGTTTTCCTAGGAGGAAGAGATGAGATGGGTTTCTAGCAATTAAAATCCTGTATTTTTTAGACAGGATCTTGCTATGTAGCCTTGGCTGGCCTGGACTTGCTCTTGTAGATCATGGTGGCCTCAAACTCAAAGATTCACTTGTCTCAGCCTCCTATGTGCTGGGATTAAAAGTGTGTGCCATCACACCTGGCTTTGTTTTTGATTCTCCATCTCTTTATGGAGCCCAGGCTAGCCTGAAACTGTCCATGCAGGTAGTGGTGGCCTTAAACTCATGATTCTCTTGCCTTTGCCTTTCAAGTGCTGGGATTACGGCATGTGCCACCACACTCAGAAACCCCATTCCTTACATTTTATATGAGGATATTCGTGGACTTTTTGTGGGTGATTGTGCAGCTGTGAAGGAGAAGGACCTCAGTTAGGACACCTAGGACATGAGGAGCTCACAAGTGGAAATGAAACAAGTCAGGGCCAGTGCTGGATGACCTCTGGGGCTAGAGTGCATGTCTAGAGGTTCTGATACCACCAACACTTCCTTTGCTTCCATCTGTCACTACATGAGCTTAAGCTCCCAGTAACAGAGTGGACATGGGGTTCTAAAGCAGGAGCCCACATCCACTCTGAACTTCCCTAAACATATTGCTGAACTAGGTTTTTTCCCCCTGTCCCTATCAAGGCAGTCCAATTGCCTCTGATGACCTGATACTGATTTAAATCCCAAGTAGTCAGTGACAGCTCTGGCAGAGATGTTTCCTCTGGAAGCTTCCTAGGCCAGTGTTTGCCCAGCCCCCATTTTCATGGCCATTTCTGCAGCTGATGGTCCTCATTCCTTCAGCTACTCAGCCTACAAAGTCATTGCCTCCAAAGTAGTCTGATCCTCCTAGTCTACCTCATAAGTGCTGGATGGGCACCACATGCTTGGTGTGCTGCTGCAAACTGAACCCAGAGCTTCGTGCTTGCTAGTCAAGAACCGGACCACCTGAGCCACAGCTCCTGCCCGGTGGTGGTGTTTCCCTTTTGGTCTTTTGAGATGGTCTTATGTTGCCCAGGTTACCTTCAGACTTTCTATGCAGTGGAGGTTGGTTGTCTTAGGCACTGTTCTATTGCTGTGAACAGACATCACGACCAAGGCAACTCTTAGGCAAGAAAGTATTTAATTGGGGGGCTTGCTTACAGTTTCAGAGGTTTAGTCCATTGTCGTCATGGCAGGGAGCATGGCGGAGGCATGTGTGGCACTGGAGTAAGAGCAGAGAACTACATCCTGATCCACAGGCTGGGCTTGGCATAGGTTTCTGAAACAACCAAGCCCACCCCCAGTGACACATCTCCTCCAATAAGACCATACCTCCCAATCCTTCTAATCCTTTCAAATAGAGCCACCAGAATCCCTGGTGACTAAGCATTTGAATATATGAATGTATGTTGGCCATTCTTATTCACACTACCACAGTGGTTTTAAACGCAAAAGATTCTCTTGCCTTTGTGTCTCAAGAGCTGGGATTATAGGCATGTACCTTCATGTTTGGCTTGAAGCTTAGGAAAAAAAAAAGGTATTTATTTACTTATTTATGGATGTGGACATCAGAGGACAATGTAAGGGAGTCGGTTCTTTCCCTCTACTGTGTGGGTCCCAGGCATTGGATTCAGGTCAGCAGGCATGGAAGAAAATATTTTTACCTTCTGAGCTGTCTCGGCACCTCTACCCTTCCCTCACTCCCATGAGCCTTTGCAGCTGCCCTTGCTTACAGGCTTTTTTTCAGCACTCTGGCTCTTGTCAGGCTTTGGAGTCAGGCCAGGTCTCAGAGCTCACTGCCACTCATAAGGTCACATCTATAAGTGTTCTGTTCCCAATCTAGAATTAACATCTTCGCTCACGTATTGTGCTAATAACTAGTCCTTCCTTGGGGGCTCTGGGGTTTAGCTTCACCGAAGAAATTTGAGCTATTGCACCCTGAGGGGGCCAGGTTGTTTTTTTTTTTGTTTGTTTGTTTTTTTAAGATTTATTTATTTTTATTTTATGTGTATGGGAGTTTTGTCTACATGAATGTCTGTGCATCACGTTCATGCCCGGTGCCGAGAAGGCTAGAAGGGGGCAATGGATCCTCTAGAAATGGAGTTACTGATGATTGTGAGCTGCCCTATGGCAGGTGGGAACGGGACCCAGGTTTTTGGAAAAGCAGCCAGTACTATTAACCACTGAGCCATCTCTCTAGACCCCCCCCCTTTTCTAATTGTTCTTCGTGTGTGTGTGTGTGTGTGTGTGTGTGTGTGTGTGTGTGTGTGTGTGTTGGGGGTGGGGGGACACATGTCACTTACATGAGATCAGAAGAAGAAAACTTTGTAGCAACAATTCTCCTTTAAGTGAGTTCAGGGATTAAACAAAGGCTGTCGTTTTACCCACAGAAGCATCTCGTTGCTCCCTTTGGTTTTTGTTGAATCTTGGATCTCTTATGGCCTCTAGCTGGCCTCTGATTCACTACTAAACAGCCCTCAGCTCTTTATCTTCCTGCGACTTCCTTCTGGAGCTGGAGGCTGTTGTCCTGGCTGGCGTCTTCTTAACACAGATCCCAAGACAGCCTGCAGCTGCCAGCAGCAGCCGGGGAACCCCAGAATGTCTCTGACTGGAGCCTTCAACAAGGAAAGGGTGGATGTGAGACCCAGGGGTCTTGTCAGAACTTAACTCTGACTGTCTGGATTTAAAGAGAAGGCTTAAGAGGTTCCCTTAGCATGGGTTCCAGCTCTTTTTCTTCAGGCCAGTACTCAGCAGCTCTGCAAGTGGCCTCTTTTCCCCGTTGTCCGCTAAGACAGTGTGCAGCCTCAGGCTGTTGGCGCTAACAGGACTCTTGGAGTTGCTTTGTCCATAATGCCCAGATGAAGGAAACTGCCCATGGGGCTACTTGGTGGTGTTTCTGAAGCCAGAAACCCCATCTCCTGACTTGTTTCCCTTGCTCATTAGAGCAGGAAGGATTGTTCATGGTCCACTGAACCAGTCAGAAATGTTGCCTCTACGGTCCAGACCTGAGAGATCACGGACAAGCCCCTGCCAGCTTCCCATGGGCACTAGAAGTTCCCTGAGAGCACTATGTGGGGGCTGGCAATATTCTCAGACCTTGTGATCTTCTCTGGACTGATTTCTCCTCAGTTTTTCCTGAAAGCAACCTACACAAAGCTGGACCAGGCTTTCCAAGCTGAGTATGTCAGCCCTTGCCGGCAGACCCTGGGGAAATTAGCTTACTCCTTGTTTATTCTCAGGCTAATTAGTGAAGGTGTTGCACTAACTCAGTCTTCTGAGGCTGGGGGTTAGGCAAAGTGATGCTATCTGTGGATGGTTAGAGCAGGGGGCCCTGTTCTTTGTCTACCCTTTTGTTAAGGGACCTCTATCTCCTTTACTGCTGACTTTATCCCCTCTGAGACCATGGGCGGGGCCTGTGGGGGGGGAGTGTGTGTGTGTGTGTGTGTGTGTGTGTGTGTGTGTGTGTGTGCGCGTGCACGCGTGCGTGTGCATGAGTGCGCGGGTTCCTGCTTTCTATATGCATATTCTTTTTCCTCTCTGAATTTCAGGGTCATGCTGTGGCAACCTGGCGCCTGACAGGTGAGGAAGAGCCTGCCAGGGGATTAGTGCTGGCAGGAGCCAAGGGCTGGACAGCCTCCTCACACACCGGAAGCAGGGGTGGGCAGGACAGCTGCCTTGCCAAGGCCAGCAGTCCCAGGAAGGAGTCTGCTGACCCACATGGCTTAGACGCAGCACCTTGCTGAGCAGCAGCTGGTCCCAGCTCCAGAGGACCCCCGCCCCCGCCCCCCCAGCAGGAGTAGGTGCTCTGTGACCCCCTGGGCAAGGATAACCAGGAGAGAGGACCGACCAGCCCGGCTGATGGGAAGCAGCAGAACAGAAGCCGTGGAGGGAGAGGAGGGCCTTGGTTTTTACGGCAGCTTCCTGATGCCCATGAAGATCATTGGTTTTCTGTCGGGCCTGGAGGGCCTGCGAGCGTGAAGAGGACTCTTGCATGGAATGCAGGCCCCCTGAAGCCCGCGTCCTCGCTGCCACCGCCGCCGAGATCAGAGTTCCAGGATTTCCCCACTGCCGGGGAGGAGGGGCAGCCTCAGTGTCTGCTCATGAGCCACAAGGACCCCGACTGCTCCAGACTGGACCTTTTCAAGCCGCCAAAGAGGGGAGTCCCTGGAGCTGGCCGCCAGCAGTCACAAGGGACTAGAGGGCTGGGATGGACTGACCTCTGCCTTGACAGGGTGGCAGGAGAAGCAGAGCCTCTGTGGCCCAGCTAGTGACTGAGAGACCCGATGAAGCCTTAAAAGGGGGGGGCGGGGCTCCAGTGGCTCAGGGACGGGGGGGAGGGAGGGGGGCTACTCCCGCAGACGTGCTTTCCCCTTCTTTTGAGGGAGGGTATGACAAGAGTCCCCCGCCACACCTCATGCCCCTATGCCCTTTATACGGGCTGCCGACGCAAGCAGGCTGCACCGTGGCTGGCCCCACAGTAGGCTGGGAAAGGATTGGCCACGGTGACGGCTGCCCCGTGGCCAGCACGATGAAGTGCTCCCTGCGGGTGTGGTTCCTCTCGATGGCCTTCCTGCTGGTGTTCATCATGTCCCTGCTCTTCACCTACTCACACCACAGCATGGCCACCCTGCCCTACCTGGACTCGGGGGCCCTGGGTGGCACACACCGGGTGAAGCTGGTGCCAGGCTACACGGGACTACAGCGCCTCGGCAAGGAGGGGCTTCCGGGGAAGAGCTGCGCCTGCCGTCGCTGCATGGGCGATGCCGGCACCTCGGACTGGTTTGACAGCCACTTTGACAGTCACATCTCACCGGTCTGGACCAGGGATAACATGAATCTCCCCCCAGATGTCCAGAGGTGGTGGATGGTAAGAACCGCGGCCCCTTTGGCTTTCCTTTCGCTGCCTTCTTTCCAGAGTCGGTTCATTTGGGAACCGCTCTGACAGCCCCCGTTTGGACTGTCTATCTCGTGACTCCCAGCATCCTGACCGAGTGGGGACCGAGTGGGAAGCCCATCTGGTCTGAGCCGAAGACCCAGATCGGATTGCTAACAGGCAGAGTGAGGTTCGACCTGGAAGGAGAGAGAACTACTGTTCGTGGTGCTTGTAGGAGTCCAGTGTACATACCCCCCCCCCCCAAAAAAAATGCTGTTGGCCTAGGTGGGCAGCACAAATGGCCAGAGCAGTCCGAGTGAGAAAGTAAGTGACGACCTGAAGGCCATGCCGTAGACAGAGGCCTTCCTGGGAGGGGGCAGCTGCAGCATGCTACCCTGCCAGCAGGCGGCTAGTGCTCCTCCCTCCTCCAACTTCTTATTTTTCCAACATTGTTATTATTATTATTATTTATGGTGTGTGTGTGTGTGTGTGTGTGTGTGTGTGTGTGTGTGTGTGTGTGTGTATACACACATACATGTGTACACGTGTGATGTAGTGGTTGATCTGTGGGTGCCACAGTGGACATGTGGCGATCCGAGAACAATTTTGTGGGGTTTACCTGGGTTCCAGGGATTGAACTCGGATTGCCAGGCTGTACAGTGAGCACCCTTCCTCGCTGAATCACCTCGCCTGCCTTCCTCCAGCCTCCAATCAGACTCCAGAAGCCTGGTTTTATATGCACAGCGTATATACATGCTTTTGACATTTTTTTTTTTTAAATTTTGGTATGTGAATGGATGTTCTGTGTGCATGTATATCTGTGTACCGCTTGTGTGCCTGGTGCCCTCAGAGGCCAGAAGAGGACTTTGGATTTCCTGGAACTGGAGTTACAGACATTCGTGAGCCACCACATGGGTGCTGGGATTTGAACCTGGGGCCTCTGGAAGAGCAGCCAGTGCTCTTAACCACTGAGCCATCTCTCCAGTCCTTATGTGTGCTGTGCATGTTTTATGTGTGTGTAAGCATGTAGGATTGTGTTTGTGGAAGCCAGAGTTGGGAAGTATCTGACTCAGCCACCATCTACCTTATTTTTGTTGTTGCTATTGTTCTTTTTCCAGCTAGGGTCTCACTGTATAACCCTGGCTGTTCTGGAACTCATCTGTAGACCAGGCTGGCCTTGAACTCACAGAGATCCACCTGCCTCTGCCTCCCAAGTGCTGGGATTAAAGGTATGTGCCACTGCACTGGCCATTCTACCTTTTTTTTTTTTTTTTTTTTTTAAATAGGGCCTTGCTGAATCTGGAGCTCAAAGATTTGGCTAAGCTGGCCAGTCAGCGAGAGGCCAGACTTCTGCCTGTCCACACACGGTCAGCAGCAGGTTACAGAAGTGCATGGCCCCATCTGGCTTTTACACAGGTGGTAGGAATCCAAACTCAGGTTTTTATTGTTTGCACGACATGGACTTTTTACTGAGTTATCTCCCTGGCCCAGAAACATGGGTTGTGTTTTATTTTTGTTTTTTGAGAAAGGGTTTCTCTGTGTAACAGCCCTGGCTGTCCTGAAACTCACTTCGAATACCAGGCTGGCTTAGAACTCAGAGAGATCCACCTGCCTCTGCCTCCCAAGTGCTGGGATTAAAGGTGTGCGCCACCACCGCCCGGCCAGAAATATGGATTGTAAGACTGAATATCCTATTGGTAAATGTTGGCTCAGAGTAATTATAAACACTTCAAGAGTCATCTTTGGCTCTTTGCAGTTGCCAGAGAAAATGCTTTGGTCTGGGGGAGAACATTGTAAACCTCAGCTGCTAAGGGAGAGGGAGGCAGAGGAGCCCCAGAAGGGCCGATGCCAGGTCCACGCCTGTTTTCCCAGGTCCCAGGACCTTTTTGTTTTTCATATCCTCCACCCTGCCCCCGTCATCTCCGGTGCATCACTTTCCCGGTTCCACAGGGCCATCTGGTTGCCTCCTGGGCCAAGAATGGAGCCTGTAGGCTGCCTGCTTTCCCTGGCATGGGGAGTCATTTCCTGATCCCTGTTCCTCCAGCCAGCATGGGAACAAGATGACTCTCCTCTCCTTTTTCAGGGATATGAGGATATATGACCACATTGATCAAGACAGCTGTGCAGAATCTGTTCATTGGCCCAGACTGTTAAGATTCCTCCAAGACATAGACCCTTCTTGTAGCAGAGTCCTGCCTGCCACTCACAACTGCCACTCACAACTACAGTCGTCCCCCCCCCCCTCCCGCGCGCGCGCGACAGGATTTCTCCATGTAGTTTTGGTGCCAGTCCTGGATCTCGCTCTGTAGCCCAGGCTGGCCTCGAATTCACAGAGATCCACCTGCCTCTGCCTCCCGAGTGCTGGGATTAAAGGCGTGTGCCACCACCGCCCGTCTATTAGTCTTTGTTTTATGGAGAAAAATAAAGGTTCAAAAAGTGCCCAGTGTCTGCCTGCCATTGTAGTCTCAGGGGTGGCCTGTAGACCAAGACTCTGAGCTGGGGTGGATTCCCAGGGGACTAGACAGGCCTCCTCCAGTCACAGGGATGGAAATCAAAGGCTGTTTTAGGTGCTATGTTCCTCAATCCCTGTTCCCCACCATCATCCCCTTTGGCCATTAAGTTGAGAATTCTTGTCTCAGAGCTTCTGCTCCAAAGAAGACTTTGGTCCCAGGAGCAGGTCCACAAACCCACGGGACTATGACTCAGTCTACAGCAATGTAGACCAGGCTCACAGAGATCCACCTGCCTCTGCCTCCTGAGGCCTGGGATCCAAGGTGTGTGCCACCACTGCCTGGCTGCTGGCTGGACTTTTTTTTTTTTTTTTT